CATCCAAATTGGGCCCTTCTGGTGCTGATTCCTTAGTGGGTGGGTTTGTGTATGTTTTAGGACCCTGTGGGTCTCTCCAACGATCTCTCCTTTGAGGCTGGGAGTTTCTCCAATTGCCTCTACACCCACAAGTGTTTTCAGTCAGAGGCTTTTAGGTTTTATTTCCTGGAGCTGGAACCCTGGGTTGCTCCCCAGTTGTTCCTTCAGGTTTATCTGTATGCGAATGTGGGACCGCCTGCTCTGCCAGCTGCCAACTGGCTGGTCTGCCAGCCGCCACCTTGCTTCAAGTCCTCTCCACCACGGATGCCCCTGTCCACCCCTCCTACCAGTCTGGATGCATACTTCTTTAACTCCTTCATTGTCAGACTTCCATATAGTTCATTTTCTGTCGGTTCTGGATTTTTTTTTTGTTTTTAAATTTGTTGTTGTTCTTTTGGTTGTGTGAGGAGGCATAGTGTGTCTACCTACCCCTCCATCTTGGCCACAAGTCCACTAATGCCTTCTTAGTTTTAATGGAGCAACTTATAGGATTCCATGTCTCTCACCTCCCAGCATATCAATTATACTCACATTTCAAATGTTTGCACTCCTTGGCCAAAGATTTGCAGCATACACTCATGACTAATATGTGTCCGCTTTCAAACACCCCTGTGAGGCAGGCACTTCAGAACATAGTATTCCAGTCCTCCCTTCACGTCCACCATCACATTTGTCATTCATGTCACTTCTCTGGAGCCATAACCGCACAACCCATTGTTGCTACTGTTATTTTGAACAAACTATACCCATTTGATACATTAAAAATAAGAAAAGGAAAAGCCTTTTTAACATTCCTTTATTTTTCCTTTTCTTTTTTTAATAGTGAATGGGACATTTTATTTTATTTTTTTAAGGTTAACAACTTGATTTCTTTTATTGTAGTATAATTAACATATTATCCTAGTTCAGATATACATACAACATGATTCCATATTGTATGCATTATAAAATGATCATCACAGTAAATCTAGTTAAACATCCATGACCTCATTTTGTTTTTTTATTTTCCCTTTCTTTATGTACTTTTGAGTTTCTGACCTATATCATCCTTCTCTCTGAAGTTCTTTGAACATTTCTTGCAGGGCAGACCTACTGGTGACAAATGCAGTTGGTTTTTATTTTGCTGGAGACATGTTTATTTTTCCTTCACTTTTGAGGAATAATTTTTCTGGATACAGAATTCTAAATTGGTGGGTTTATTTTTTCAACATTTTGAATATTTCAGTCCTTGCTTGCATGGTTTCTGAAAAGAAATTTAATGTATTACCTGTTGTTCCTCTATTGAAACATGGCTTTTTTCCCTCTAGCTTCTTTCTAGATTTTCACTTTGTTCTGCTTTTCTGCACTTTTAATATGATATTCCCAGGTGTCTGTTTCTGGAAACTTGCCCCTGGGTCATGGTGTTCTCTGAGATTCCTAGATCTGTAGTTTAGTGGGTGTTGTTAATTTTGGAAAAAAAAATATTCAGCCATTATTAATTTAAATATCTTTATGCTTTTCTCTCTCTCTTTTCCTTCTTGTGTCTCGTTACACGTATGCTATATGTTTTATAATTGTCCCAAAGTTCATGAATACTCTTTATTTTGGGGTGTCTTTTTTCCTCTTTGTATTTCAGTTTCCTGTTGACATAACTTCAAGCACTTACAACACTTACGATACCCATCTGCTTTTATATATAGCCCATGTTTTCACTGGAGACCTTACCACATTAATTAAGTATAGGTTTTTAAAATTCCCAGTCTGATAATTCCAAAATCTCTGCCATATCAGAATCTTATTCTGATGCTTGATTTGTTTCTTCAGATCATGTTTCTTCATATGTTAGCATGCCTTACAGTTACTCTGTGGAAGGTTGTTGGGAGCCGCCCTGCCTGGTTTCAGAAGCTGTAACCCCCCCATCACTAAGGCTGAGTGAGCGACCTTTGGACCACAAGCCACTAAGGAGACAAAGCTTATCTCCCTGGCAGGAGAGCCACTTCTGCTCCTTTTTCCATAACTGGCCCCCAATGCTTGGTCAGTTAGCCAATGATGGGTAAGACTCCCCAAGGGGGGAACGACCTAAGATAGCATGATCATGTGGAGGCCCCAGGGAGGGACTTGGGGGGCTACAGCAAAAGGGGGTGATGGACCCTCACCTCTCAACTTTGACAAAGCCTGAGTCCTCATTCTGTTTGTGAGAAGTCTCTTAATTTCTTGGCTATCTTGCCTCCTCTGCCTGACTTAAGCCTGAAACAATGACAGAGGGTGGTGCAGTCCTGTACTGGAAAGGGCAGGTTTCCCTGGGTGATCAGGACTGAGAAAGAATACATAAGCTCCTGTGAAACCTGTTTTGCTAAGAATGCTCTCAATTAAATGATAAAGGTCCAAGCAGAAAGTGAGTTTGTTTCCCAAAGTTTTGTAGCCCTTTAGCTAACAGACCCTTACCTTCAGAATAAGCCCTCATAGTTCTTTGTATGCTATTGTTTGATCCTTACTGCCTGACAATGATTAATGAACTTTATCTGTATTCCTGTGCAATTTAAAAACCAATAAAAACCTGTGAAGGGAAGGATCAGGGCACTCTGCTTTGAGAGAGTGCCCAGGCCGCTCCGAGGCACCCTCCCCTTAAGAGAATAGCCCTGCCGTCCCTTTTCCTCCACAAGACTCAGCAGTCCATGTGAATTTGTCTCATGTCTCATCCATAACATCGCGGACACTGCGGGCCGGTGTCTGCATCAGAAGGTAGACATGATGATCGAGGTAGGCAATACGAACTGAGGCGTGCAGGCCTTTGGTGTGAGGGCGTATGTTTATTTGGCTAGGCCTAGGCTGTGTTTACTATTTTCTGTGGCTGTAGATGTCTGAGGTTTCAGTCTCCTTTAGAGTCCTTGTTTCTGTCTCCTCTTTTATCTCTGGGATTGCCTAGAAATTCCTCACTAAATAGAATCTGAGACTTGTAGTTTTTCTATACAATAGACTCATCAATGTGGTTGTAAGGGATGATGAGGAGAGAAGTGCTCTGCAGTCCTATATGATCAGCCTCACACTTAAGTCAGCCTGGGCTGGACACCAGAGTGTAACCTTCAGAAGCACCTCTCCACCTTTTCTCCCTTAGGCAAGGAAGGGAAGCTGCAGGAGACTGGAGCAGGGTGTGTTCCTTACCTCACGGCAGCTGGGCTCTGGTGGTTTTCCTTGAAGGACAAGGGAGGACAGAACGCTCAGGACTTACTTCAAAATGATTGCATTTCTTCCTTCTATCAAAAGCACAAGGAGATTTTTCTGTGTTCTCCACAGTGAAAACCCGCTGGGTTTCTGGAGGGAACACTCAAAAAGGGGAGGAGGGCTCCCTCAGACTGAGCCTCCAGAGGTGGTAACTTTCAAACAGTCCACACGGAGTCTCCAGGAATTTCTCCAATGAGGTTTTCAAGTGCTCCGAATAGCCAGCCTCAGCGATGGGCTTCGAATCCTAGGCGTCAGTTGCCACTAATTTGTTACTCTTCACAGGCACCCATCTCTTGACTTTAACAGTTTGCTTCATGACCTTGAAACTCTGATGGGTCTTTTTCATTTCCAAGAGTTGTTGATTTTCTGTGACACAGTGAGAGTTGACTCCAAAAATTTTACCTGTTAGAACAGAAACCAGAAATCTTGGTAACCAATTTTAAAACCAATTTATTAAACAACAACAAAAAACATCTGTTTTTTTTTTTTAAAAAAAGGTATTCTTTATTTCTAGAGAGAAGGGAAGGAAGGGATAGAAACATGAATGTGTGCTTGCCTCTCATGTGCCCCCAACTGGGGACCTGGCCCTGTAACCCAGGCATGTGCCCTGATAGGGAATCAAACCAGTGACCTTTATAGTTCACAGGCTGGCATCAACCCACTGACCCACAGAATCCAGAGCAAAAAAAATATCTTGATTTAGGGGCCAGTGTCTTCCATGGATTCCAAAATCAAAGGGGGAGATTTAACTTCAGTCTTTCTATGTGAAAATAAAAGTCTCTTAAAACACTTTTTTTTTGCAAGGAAATAAAAGTGATCTAGCATGCTTTAATACTTAAAACAAAAAGTGTTAGCACACATTAGAATTGTTATAATTCAATAACTCATTTGATTATTATTTTAGAAAAGGAGCATGCTCATGAAGTTTACAACTTCTTCACATTGGAATTGGGAGAGCTTACCTTCACGTTATCACTATTACTCCTGCTGGTTCACTTCTCTCTCTCTGTCCCTTCTGTGGTGGGGAGAGCGCTCAGTGGCAGTTCAAGTATTTCCCAGTTCTGCTGCCCTTCTACAGGAAGTAGAAAGCTTTCAGCCTGAACGTTCGAAGAACCATTCCATTGCAGAAGGGGCCCTTAAGCCCACTGAAATCTCGGCTGGATGATCTCTGCTTTCACGGCCCTCACGTGAGGCCAGGACCCACAACTCAGGGCTGACTCTGCTTTAACCTCGGGACTCAGGATCTCAGGTTCCTGGGACAGTTTTTGTTGGAGGTTCTTGTGGGCCTTTGTTCCTTTAGCTAAAATGATAGTGGTATTCTCAAAATCATGAATTTGTCATGGATTTTATTGCCAAGTATTAAATTTCCAGGACTCAAGAGGACTATGCCCACATTTCATTGAACAATTCCATTCCCATGCTTTGTTCCAAAACGGTCCAGCCCCAAAGCTGCATCCGGGGATTATATCTCCCCCTCTGCAATGTGTTTCTAGCAAGATCTGCTCTGCAGTCCCAGCTTTATCTCTGCTGAGTCCTGGTGACTATGGCAGCTGAGGTCACACAACAAATACGAGGTTCTACCCCTCTCCGCCTGTGATGACAGGGGCTCCTCAGATAATATCGTCCCCACTCTTCTCTGCTGAATAGATTTGAAGAGGAGGCACACAAGGACATCCTTAGGACCCACAACTACATTTCCCAGAGATCCCTGGGTGATTCTAAGTGGACTCTTTGGGAGGGGCAGTGTGGAAAGCCAATGAGGGCACTTCCTGTGTTGGCTCCAGTGGGAGGAGTGAAGTTAGTTCAGTCTAGTTCCTGGTGTGGGTCCTAGTGGAACTCGGTGAGTGACTCTTTATGCTTTGAAATTGGGGCTTGATCCTACCTCAGCTGTGAGTCCAGCAGGCTAGACACTGCAGTGTGTCTGAATTGCAGTCCAGAGGTGGTTCAGAAGGTGTGGCTGACACGTGCTTTGAGTCCTTATGCTGTAAGGGCTGTGCAGTGAAGTGTGAGGGTAGCAGACCCTCGATGCACACCCTGTGGGTTAGAGTCACAGCCACACCACACCCAGCTGTGGGGACTTGGGCGGACCACCCAGCATCTTTGAAAGTCAGTTTATCTGTCAGTGAAATGGAGCTCATTAGAGAGCTTACTGAAAAGGTGGTTGTGAGGATTACAGAGTGTGTAAAAACCAGCTGTGTGCACAAAGTGTGTTTCAGGGAACTGGATTTCCTTGTCAGATAATGGAAACAGTGATGTCCACCTCCTCTGTCCCCAACCAAGAGTGTCCCAAGGGCACAGTTAGTCCTGGCAGCAGCGGGTTTGTGACCATCCCTGCTCCCTCTGCATCAGCTGATAAGGATTTCTGCAATAATCCCAACTGGAAGGGGGGACATGTTTTTTGTACTGTTGGAGGGAATTCCTGGGGGAAGTTTCCTGCCCTGGAGGGAGGCTTAGGGGGAAGGGCCTCCAGGAGCCATAAATGACAAGAACCAACCTCTTTGCTGTCAGAGAGACCAAGGACTCCACGCCCTGAGCAGAGCTGTGCACAACTGGACAGGCGAGGGGGCCTGCAGGGGCAGACACACCCGGTAGCAAGGGCCAGAGTGCGAGGTGCTTTGGCGGTGCTCCCGAGCTCCGGCAGGTGCCCACGGCAGCACCCGGTGTGCTCTTCTCCGAGAAATTGCTCTTTCCCTTCCCCAGGGCCTCACTTTAGTTTTCTGCTCACAAAACGGCAGCTGCACCTTTCCTCCCTGAAACAAAAGTAAACAACTTTCTGTCAACTGCCTGGTGCATCTTGCCCGGCAACTTATTTTGATGGCTCTTTATGGGTTTGAAAACTTCAGAGGCAACTTGAAGTGTGCTCACATATCACCTGCACATCTGAGTTTGTTTGAGCTTTTGCTTTTGGAGAGGAGGGGAAAAAATGAAGTTTATGAAAACAAAAACCAGTGAGAAGTCCTCGGCAGCTATAACAGCTGATTTCCACGCATGGGGCTTTCTGTGTCGACTCCACAGGCCTTCAGGGTGCGAAGTGCTGTTGAAGGGGCTCTGTGGGCGAGGCCTGCCTGACAGCTTCTTCCTCACCCAGAAAATCACTGGGCTGACCACTTGCCCCTGGGGCTGAGCTGGGTCATAGTGTCATTGCAGAGGGTGCAGAGCCAAAAGGAAAGGGAGGGGAGGGGAGGGGAGGGGAGAGAAATGAAAATAACAGTACACAGAAAGAAAAGCCACTCAGAAGCACTCCCTAAAATTCTTCTATTCAACTCAGCACTTCTGTTCCTCAGTGTCAGTGCAAACTGATTGGAAAACACACTGAGAAGTGTGCTTGGACACAAATGTTCACAGCAGCACGATGCACAGCAGCCAAACGTGGGACAACCTAGATGCCATCAGGAAGGAAGAGATAAATAAAAATCGTGTCCACACCTTGGAATACTATTCAGTCATAAAAAGGGATGAAGTATTGATGTGTATTTCACAATACATGAACCCTGAACCCATTATGGTAAATGAAAGGAAGCCAGCCAGCAAAAGGCCCCGTGTTACGCAATTACATTTATATGAAATGTTCTGCAGAGACAGAAAGCAGACTGGCGGTTGCCAGGGGCTGGAGGAAACAGGGAATCACTGCTGAATGGGCAGCAGGGTGCAGTTCACCCTAGTGTGATGTTGTGGAATGGGACAGAGATGGTGATGTGCACCGTGGTGAGTGTACTGGATGGCACTGATTGATTGTTGCATCAATGTACCACATGATCAGTACCATGTGATGTGAACTTCACATCAGTTATTTAAAAAATCTATTCAGAAATCCTGGAAGGAGGGATTGGCACCTCCCCCTCAGTCCAGAGAGTACTAGTGCTGCTTGTCACCTTGGGATGATAGCAGCCTTTCACTTGCTTGCCCAGGACCCTCATTTTTGTTCCTGAAGCACAATAGAGGGACTCCACTCTCCTCTCAAAGGGCAGTTTTTAGCTGCCAGCTCCGTGTCGTCCCAGGGACTTGTTTTGTCTGGCCTTCACCTCCGTGTGCTGAGCAGCTGTTTCTGTGGACTGGCTCCCGGGCTTGCGCTGTGGGCCGGCCTGACCTCTGCTGGCCTTTGGTTCCCGGCGTCTCCCTGACACTAAGGCCTGTGGAATGATGGCCATTGAGCAGGGCGTGCCTAACAGCTTCCCTTGCATCCAGAAAGTTGAACAGCTGGCCACTTGTCCCTGGGAGGGGGCTCAGTTATGGTTTCAATCCAGTGGAATGCTATGGCCTTCACTGGGACAGAGAAAAGAAAAGTGATTAAAAAGAGAAGCAGCAGCCACGGAGTAAGCCACTCACGGGCACTCCTCAGAATTCTCCAGAATCCCGGAAGTCGGGCACCAGGTGTAGAAGACTTCAGTCCGTGGTTGTTCTTGTGCTGCCTGTAGCTTGAGCGTGACGGCGCCATCTCCTTGCCAACTAGCTCTGGATCAGTTTGCTTTTAATTCCTTTATCTTAGACTCTTGCCTACAATTTTATTTTGGGAAACACTAGAGGTTTACTTAGGGGGAAAAATGGACACCAGTGTTGTCCATGAAAGATGTAGGCATCCAACAGGACTGGGAGCTAATCAGTGAACTTGGCATATCAATCTATTCTCCAAGGGTTCCTCCAAAAAGATAATTTGAATTGGAGTACCTTGTTGCTAAGGACAAATTGCAGCAGTCAGTTCAACAGTTGAACATTGACCATTCAAGAAAACACCAAGGATCCGTCAGATGAGCTACAGGAAAAAGCAGGCCTCTTTCACCCGACATGCCAGGCCCTCTGGAAGTTGCCTGTGTATCTTTCCTTCGTTCCCCACAGCTCCCCAGAGGACCACCGATAGGTCTCACTGAAGTCAGGTTCCCAGAACCAGACCCTGAGACACAGACCCAGGTCCATGTGCAAGCGGCTTATGCAGGAAGTGCCCCTGGGAGATGCCCAGTTCAGTCTGGTTGTGACTTCTAACTCCGTGGTGTCCGGACTCCAGGCCTGGCAGCTGGACTTCCAAAACCTCGCTCGAGTCATTAATTGTCTCAAAGCTGCCCTGGCAGGAAATGAGTTCCCTGGCTTGTCCAGCTCTCTGCAGAGGAAGGCAGAGCAGCTCCAGGAGCCCTCAGGGGGCCCTCCAAAGAGTCTAGGGTGCAGGTCCTTAAGCATAAGGACAGAGAAGCCAGGCCAGGGGCACAGTGAAATGGTAAAAGACATCTGAAGGGATCGGGGTGGGACAGACAGCACTCTCCCCACAGTTGCCTCGGTCCGGGATCCTCACCAATGCCGCATGCCCTCTCTAGGCACACTGAGCATGCTTGTTCCTTCCCTCTCTGTTCTTAGGGTGGAGGCCAACAGGTCTAATGGGTTTCATCTGAGTCACACTTTCCAAACGTTTTTTAAAACCTTACTTGATATTCTCATACATTTTCTACTTTTTTGTTCTATAATAAGAGGAGTCAATGTTGACCATGAACTCTTTATTGTGGCCTCTCTCATCTTTTTTTTTTCATTTTAATTTACACCCTTACTGGCCAGTTGGGAGGTACCACTTTATCAGGGTAGCTCACTGTTGATGCATTCCTCAAGTTCTGTCATGTTTGAGATTGTCTTTATACTTAGGATGCCTTTGTGATTAAATGCAACACTAGCTGAGGGTAGTGTTTGAAGATCAGACTCCCTTCTTAACTTAGTAGACCTACTACTGTGGGGCATTCTGACCCCTGCATGACAGTTTCTCCCTTATGAAATGTTGGCTTTTCCACCAAATACCCAGGTAGTTTCCTCCCATTTTCAATTTCAGTAATCTAACTGGAATATATTCCAGTGTTGAATGTTGAATCGCACTTTTCCAGAATCTGGCTGTTTTTTAGATTTAATTTTTGCTGCAGTTCAGGAAAATGATTTTGTTATTTTTACATACATTTTCTATTGTGCTTTTTGAGATTTCTTCTTCAGAAGCACCAGTTGTTTTCCTATTGGCTTCTTTCTGTTTGTTTAATGGCTTTACCTTTTCATTGACTTTTACTATAGTATCAAGTTTTTCTTCTACACATGTGATCTGATATCACACTGCATCTATATTGTCCCTTTCTGTTTGTAATTAATTATATATTAGCTTTGTTTTTGTCCGTAGTTTCCTAAGGTCTAAGATAAAATAATAGAGCTGCATTATTTCATTATTATTTTATCACTTCATTTTTTGGCTCTCTGTTATGAATCCATGTTAAATGTTCTTTTGCTCCAAGTGCCCGTGAAGAATTTCTCTCCATTGCTCAGTTTATTTCTGTTCTTGAGCTGGTCGTCTGTTTTTGTCTCTCTTTTGCACATTATATCCTTTAATTCCCACTCTCGCAGTGTATTTGCACCCTGTGTTTTCATTATATTTGTGCCTGTCTAGCTTTGTCTCCACCTCTTCCTTGTTTCTTGAACCGAAGGAACCTGACTGGTGAGGGGTCTGTGTGGAGCGGGCCCTGGACTCCTCACTCTCCCAGTGGAGACGGAAAGAGAGAGTGTAACCAGAGACACTCTGATGGCCGATCTTCCCCGTATGGATGCTTCTTCCTTTCTGGTGACACCGCACACAAAGAACATTGTGCTTTATTTTTCTTTTGCCCCAATATCCCGAATTATGCTTTATCCCTGGAGGAAGAATAGCTGTTATCATGGCACACTGGTCCTTGCCGTGTTGGGTAAATCTTGTAGCAATACATGGGGGCACAGAACAAGGCTCACCCTTCTTTGTTGATTCCCTGGCAACTGGCCATCTGGTTGCTTGCTTCTGAGGCCCTTCCTGAAACTTATGAAAAGTTTCATAAACTTTGCACTGAGTGAATCAATAAATCAATGTGGAGAGAAATATAAATCTTTGAGTTGGAACTTTGAGTGGGTTCAACTAAAGGTGAAATTGAGTGGGCCAGGTACCCAGAATACAATGTACTCTATAATTCTCCTATTTACACAAGAACTATTTGTAAACTCTACATTTATTTATTTTCAGAGAGCCCTAGGTAGGAAGAAGAGAGGGAGAAAGACATCAATATATGGTTACCTCTTGAGCGCCCCCTACTGGGGATCTGGCCTGCAACACAGGCATATGCCTTGACTGGGAATTGAATCAGCAACTCTTTGGTTCGTAGGCGGGCACTCATTCCACTGAGCCACACCAACCAGAGTATAAACCCTATTTTAATTGACACCAATTTGAACCTCTTTTAATTTATTACTAACAAAACCACATATAAACTGTTTATCGTTTTGCTCATCATTAAACCTGGATTTATAGCTTCTCATCTTTAATACATGGAAGCAGTGATAATACTTTTCATACAGGGTTACTGAGACTAGTGAGTGAACTTAAGCACATGAAAACAATGACTACAATGAAAGTATTAAACAAAAGACTTACGTTGCAGATATTCATCACCAGTTTGTATTTAGATATTTAAAATACATGAATTATAATTCAAAATCCAAGTGCAAAGGTAACACGATGTGCTCTTGCTTTATTTCCCTTGCCTTAGGCAACCATGGACATTGAAGCATATTTTGAAAGAATTGGTTATAAGAACTCCAGGAACAAATTGGACCTGGAAACATTAACTGACATCCTTCAGCACCAGATCTGGGCCGTTCCCTTTGAGAACCTGAACATCCATTGTGGGAAGCGCATGGAACTGGGCTTGGAGGCCATTTTTGATCAAGTGGTGAGGAGGAGGCGGGGTGGCTGGTGCCTCCAGGTCAATCACCTCCTGTACTGGGCTCTGACCACCATGGGTTTCCAGGCCACCATGTTGGGAGGCTACGTGTTCAGCCCTCCGGCCGACAAATACAGCAGTGCTATGATTCACCTTCTGCTGAAGGTCACCTTGGATGGTAGACACTACATAGTCGATGCTGGGTTTGGATGCTCTTACCAGATGTGGCAGCCTCTGGAGTTAATTTCTGGGAAGGATCAGCCTCAGGTGCCCTGCGTCTTCCGCTTAACTGAAGAGAGAGGAACCTGGTACCTGGACCAAATCAGAAGAGAGCAGTACATCCCAAACCAGGAATTTGTTAACTCTGATCTCCTGGAAAGGAACAAGTACCGAAAGATCTACTCCTTTACTCTGGAGCCTCGAACAATTAAAGATTTTGAGTCTGTTAATGAGTACCTTCAGACGTCTCCAGCATCTTTGTTTACAGGCAAGTCGTTCTGTTCCTTGCAGACCCCAGATGGGGTTCACTGTTTAGTGGGCCTCACCCTCACCTTTAGGAAATTCAATTATAAAGACAATGTGGATTTGGTGGAGTTTAAGACACTGAATGAAGAAGAAATAGGAGAAGAGCTGAAAAATATATTTAATATTTCCTTGGAGGAAAAGCTTGTGCCCAAATATGGTGATAAATTCTTTACCATTTAGAGTAAGCAGTAGAAATGATCTTCAGTACTATTGTATTATTGCATCTTGTATTATACACGGAAACTTCTTATTATAAAAATCAAATATACATAAAAGTAGAGAGAATAAAATAATTAACCTCTATGCATCACCCATTTTGCCAACTGTCCACTGGTAACCTCATATTTCCTCAATGACAGTATTTGATATTAAAGAAAACTCTAGATATTAAATCATTTCAACCTTTAAAATGTCAGCCTATCTATTTAGATAACTTTTTTTTTTTCTGGGAACAACTCTTTCCATGACTTGCAGGTCAAGTTCAGAGACAAATTTACTGGTGATCAATGTATGAAGTCTAAAATCCTCTGCTGTACTTAAGAGGTGTTCTGGGATTTGTAGTCAGACAACATTTCAAAGAAAACAGAACCACACATCTTTTTAAAATTAATAATAGTAAAGGTATTTTAAGGGTGAGCTATGGTTGTCTTGGAAGAAAATAGTGATTTTTGCTAGAAAAACTTCCATACTGGTTGAACATTGAAGTCATAAAAAATGTTTACCTGTGGCTCAGGAAATGGGCAACCGAGGAAACAGTCTTTATTAAATGCAACCAGCATGTGTCCCATGTCCAATATCAATTTTTACAAAAGCCCGCATGTACAAGGCAGGGTTAGAATTCTACAAAGAGGAGTGAGACGTGATATTGCTCCCTGAGTAGTTCCCAGACGAGGCTTCACCCAGCAAACAGTAGCGTGTGGTTAAGCACCAGGAGAGTGACACAGCTCATGGTTTCTTACATGGCTCTTTCTGCAACCGAGTTCTTTGGGTAGCATTTTCCTTAATATAGAAATGCTGGCATAGAAAATTTTTCAAATTTCAGAATTAAGTAATTTTGTCTAAAAGTTATAACTATTGTGAATTTTAAAATATTACCTATAAAAACCTGATGTCTAAACTGCATGTGAAAACAATGTCACCAGTAAGTGTCTGTCTGGCAGAGTCAGGATGCCAGGGGCTTCCTCACATCCTCTTTCTCATCTGCCAGTTCTTTCCTTTTACTTCCTCCCACACGTGTCCTAAGGGAAAGAGAATGAGCTGCAAGGTGTAGAGATCTGAGTTCAAATCCTGTGGAACTGGGTGGACTACTTGATCAGTCTGTGGATCTGATCCCTCAGAGATAAAATGGGAATAATACTTACATAATTTAATGCCTGGAGTAGATTCTCAATAAATTTTGTTATATGGATGAATGAATGATGTCAGTAATGTTTTTGATATTGAGTCAGTATTTGATGAAAGTTCTTCCATCTTGCTTTATTTCCCCAGCTCAACTCTGGTCCTAAATCTGCCTGCCCCTCCCTCGGTTAAATATGAGTATGGCACCAGACGGCCCCAGTCTACTGTGGGTCTGTGCTTCCCAATTGGGTTCTTTGCTTCTCTGTAGCTCCCACTTTCTGTGTGTGAATCCCAGAAACAGGGCCATAATTTCAACTGCAGACTTGTTCTTACATCACTCTCCCCCTTCAACTTGTGGTGATCGTAATGGCAATGAAAAAATAAAATAAAATGGCATAAGCATTGCTAAGAGAGGCACTTAAAATAGAGTCTCACATTCTGACAATGATCACGTCCACGGAAGAGGTGTTGTCAGGAGGCAGAGACCAGACTGAAAGGTGGCTCAAGGAAAGACAGAACCAGAGGCCCAGAAACATGGAACAGGCTGGCAGCTGTAAGGTGGGGGGTGAGGGGCTGGTTGGAAGAAGGTGAAGGAATTAGTCAAAGGCACACAGACGCCTGACCCACGGACATGGGTGAGGGTGTGGGGGTTGCCTGAGGGAGTGAGGGGATGGGGCTCTGTGGAGGGGGGCAAAGGGAAAATGGAAACAACTGTAAAAGCATAAACAATAAAATGTTGTTTATATAATAAAATATAAAATATAATTTTATTGTTTAAAATATAATTTAAACAAAATATAATCTAATTTTAATATAAAAAGTAAGTTATCTTTAAAAGTAAACAATGTAAATATACTTAGAACAACTAACTGTCCAGTTAAAATGGTTAAGATGATAACTATTATGATGTGTTTTTACCACAATTAATAAAAGTATACAAGTTATAAAAAAGGTGATCAAGGAGAAAGATGCAGTTTTGTACACATGAGTTAAGGACGTCTTATTGTGCCGTGAGTACTGACATCCAGTGCAATTGCTTTCCTTGAATGCGTCTACCACATGTGGAAAAAAGGCCGAATTTGTTGAAAGACTGTGGAATATAAAGTTTAGCTGCTGGGCTGAAGACCTGTGCCTCCCTATGCAATGCCCACTTTCCTCCAAGAAAACCTAAATGAGTGGATCAATGATGATCCAGTTTCTATAGCTGCTTAACACATTGCCCTGAAACTCAGGGGTTTAAAACAGCCCTTTTGTTTTGCTCACACACCCTGTGGGTCTGCAGTTTAGAAAGAACACCATGGAAGGGCTCTCTCCTGCTCTCCACTGTCCAGCCTGGACCACTCCAGGGAACGACCATTAGTAGTCCCTAGCTTTCTCAGCTCTTGGAGGTAAGAAGCAGAAAGCTGTTTTGGTCTTTGGGTTTGTTCCTTATCATTGCTTTCTGCCATGACCAGGACAGAGAACCAAATGGCCTTGCTGAGGAACTGGGAGAGGCTGCATCTGTGGCAGCAGAGTGTTAGTAGTATCACCCTGTTGGTGCCAATGCTGAAGAAGGTGAGAAGAGAGAAATCTGCCACATGGCTTCTCTGGTTGATGCTGCCGAGGCCTGGAAGGGAGCTGCCCTGGAGGCTTTAGCAGAGAAACAGGCAGTAAGGCCACAGGGACAGCAGCAGGCAGGCAGCGGCAGCACCCTGCCCAGCAGCAGGTCCCTGCAGCAGTGGCCCAGGAGAAGCCAGGGTGACCTCTGCCACAGGGCAGCCCAGAGCTCAGGTCCTGACCACATGGATCCTTCTGTTGTCCCTCCGTCACCCTCCTCCAGCCCCGCAGCCCTGCAGGCAAGCCTTCTCTCTCACTTGTTGTGTCTGCACCACTGGCCTGGGAGTTCCTGTGGGAAAAAATATCCAGGTGCTTAATACAGGTAGCCCAGTGGGGAAGTAGTATTGGTAATTAGACAGACAAATGAAAATCTAATTGTTAGGTAATTCTCCTTGGTGGTTTAGTACATGAGTCAACTTCCAACTTCTAGAATCAGTTATCCCGGTCAGAGGTGAATTTCAGCCGCTGTGAAGAAAGCCTATTATCCAACACTTTCTGAGAGTACAAGGATATTGCGCAGCCCAGATGGGTGTGATAGAAACAATAGTAATGATGCCTTTGACCTGCCAAGGTCATCATGGTCTAATACTCCCGTTTCTTCTCCAGGTGATGTTCCCCCTCAGCATTCCCTTTGCCGCAGGATTTAAGATATATTAACCAATATCTTCCTCTAACAAATTCAGTTCTTATTTTTTCTCATCCAGGCAGGGTTTCAGAAATGAATTGAATAGCTATGGATACTTGGCTCTTGTTATTTTCTTTCTTCCTGACTCTTGTTCTGACCTCCATCTCTCTGCTGACATCAGCGTCCACCTGAAAACTCAGCTCTCAGCAAAGGGTCCATGTACATGCAGGGAGGGCCTCCTGCCTTTCCACCTGCCGCTGCTGTCCTTTCGTCGCCCTCGCCTCTCACCCACTGGGAAACCCTTCCCTGTGTCTCCATCAAGAATCAACGTGCGTGCTTGAAATTCAAGTTGTTTGGAACAAAGGACCCGTTAAATCGTTAGAATTAAGATGCAGCAGGCTTTACATATTTTAGTCCTCTTTGCCCTTAACCGTGTTTTCCTTCTGAGATATAGATATTCTGCTTTCTCCTTATTCTTAAAGGTAATCTCTGATAGTTTTAGCCAGACAGGACTCTGAACGGGCCTGTTACCGCATCCACGCCCTGTGCTCTGCTCACACCCAGCCCTTTGCTCTGCCTTGGGTTGGCATAGTCAGAAAAGGAGTCTTCTGGGTCTCTAATAATGGGCTGAATTTAGTTATATACACTGTCACTAACTTTCTGCCAAACTTTGCAACGTACATTTCACTATGTATATTTTCTAGATGAGTATATTGAAATTCATAGGGACTAAATATGCCCAAGGTTAAACAGCCACTAAATATCACAGTCACTTACGTCAGTTAGTGTCACGAGTTAAGGCTAGGGTTGGGGTAGGGTTAGGTTCAGGGCCTGCACTGCTAGGCTCACCTGTAGCTCGTTCCCGCAGCTATGCATGCTGCCAGCTGACTCCCCTCACTGGCCTGAACTGCCATGTGTGCACTGGTGGGGACACCCTGCAGCTGCAGGAGTGCATGCCAACAGTCAGGGCCCCTGCAGCCCCCGGCGTGCCCACAGGTGTCCCTGGCCCTTGCTGCTGGCTGAGGCCCCCGCCATGTATGATATGTGTCTGTAACCAGCCCGTGCCACTATGGAGGCACCTGCTGCTAAGTGTGCACACTGCTGGCTCTGTCCACCACTTTTCCCTGGCAACATGGGAGGTGCCACTACAGACTGCTTGGCAATGCTCACCAATGACCCTGTGGTGACTGGTGCTGTGAACACCAGCAGCCGGAGCCAGCAAGACATCACAACACACCCAGACATGGAGCTGCCACGTGCCTGTGCGCATGGCACTTTCCCTACTAGGTATGGGATTGCAACACACTGCAGCCCAGCCCCTCCTTCCAGCAGAGGAAGGCATTTCCTTACCAACCTCAGTCCATACCTTCTGGAGGAGGTGACTGCTTCTTCACATGCACAGGCACCTGTGCGAGCCCGCAGGCATCACAGGGAGCTGGGGAAACGTGACACCCCAGAGGAACAGCAAACTTCTAGTCACCAAACACGAAGACATGGAGATACATGAATTGCTTGGCAAAAAAAAATTAAAGATAATTTTTCTGAAGATCCTGGGAGAGCTACAAGAGAATGTAAACAATTTAACAAAATCAGACAGACAATGCAAGAGCAAAATGAGAAGTTCAACAAAGAGATTCTAAAAAACATAAAGAACCCCAGAAATTTTGGAGATGAAGAATACAAACTGAACTGAAGAGTTCCATGGAGAGGTTCAACAGCAGACTGAACCAACATAAGAGAGAATCAGTGAGCTCAAAAATAAGTCATTTGAAGTTATTTCCTCAGAGAAGGAAAAAAAAAGGAACGAGGAAAGGAATGAGGGGAGCCCATGGGACCTGTTGGGCACCATTG